GACTGGAGTTTCTGAAGTGTGATTTGAGGTTTAACCTTTAAACCAAACCAATTAAAGATGGGATTTGGTTTCCAATCTTTACTTATGGAATTGGAAAACAGAAGTTGCTAGCAAAACAAGCAAACTGTAATCCTGCATGTATTTAACATAATTCCCTGCAATTACTTCTTCATCCATCTCCTCTGATTGCCTGGGCTGGGTTTGAGGGAGAGCAATGCTGCATCTCTCCTATTCCAGGGCTTCCAAAGCTCTGGTTGCTAGACAAGTGGGAAGGGGGAAGGACTACCCTTCCAGTCACCTCTCCAGGTTCTGCTGACCCTGTCCAGCTCTCACTTGTCTTCTCCATCAAATACTGTAGGATTTCTTTCAGTTCAAGTTTTCATGCCATGTGAATGATTTACCGTTTCTTCTGAGAGATCCTGTGCTTGATTTTGCTCCTTTAACTATAAAATGATGATGATGGTATCTTGCTTTAAAACAGASCAGTCCACTAAACAGCCTCAGTCCTGAACCTGCGCAGTCAGGCTATGGCATCTCTTGATTCTTTTACCCCAAGCAAACAGTTCTTCCAACTATATTTAATACTGAAACATGCAAGTCCTGTGCCTGATACACAACTGGGTTTGCTACTGCTGCTGCTCAGCAGTGAGTGGTGTTRCATGGAGTGGCATACCTTTGGAATGATTGTTACAAAGGGTGGGAAAATTTGCATATTTGTACCTATTTGAGCTTGGGAAAGAAGGCTGTGGTGGGGTCCTAAAAGGTAGTTTGGACTCTGGGACTGCCAAGATTCAGCTCTTCATTTAATTGTTTATAAGTTACTGAAATAATTGGTAATGTGATTTGAAATTGTAATAAAAAATGTGTGGTGTTTTCTGTCATGGAGCCAGGAAAGGAGAAAACCAGCTTTGCCTTCCTCCTTCCTCTTTCCTTCTCTCTCATTCATTCTAATAACTTTTAAATTTTGTTCCATATACTTTTCTCCAGTATGTTTYTTTAAAAATACCTTCCCTCTTAGATATCAGCACTCTGTCATAGACAATATGTCCCAAACATGCCTTTTGGGATACTCTACTTTGGCCTACTGGTGTTCAACCACTGGTGTCCTGTAATGATTAACATATTACAATAACTTACAGTTTTAAAAATTTCAATTCTCTATTTTCTGAAGGCTCTGAAAGAGAGGTTTATAAAGACTACATTTTCTYATCTTCCATATAACTGGACAAAAATATAATTGATAACTAGGAAACTAAGACAGGCCTCTGCACTACTGCTACTGCTGCTACTACTACCACCTTGAGTCTACTGACTGCAGTTAAACTGTTCCTAGTGCAAATCTGAGCACATGTGAAGAGAAGCAAGAACAGTAAAGGGATTGTATCCCAAAAAATAAGCAAATCTGGATGTGAAGGCAAAAAGAGAGACAGGAATAAAATATATGTGTGTGAAGACACATGAATAAAATGTGCCCCTTCTGGCTTGCAGCATTTGGAGATGTTAGCTAAGTTTGATGCAGTTCTCTGAGGTCTGTGCATGTTCTGTCAAGATTCTGTAGTGTATTCTTCTTGTAGCACTGATTTTGCTTATAAGAAAGTAATATTCAGYGGTCTAGTCTTGTCAGAGCTAATATTTTTGTCTATTCTGGGTTCCCAGAGTCAAGAATACTAAAGCAATRTACAAGAATAAGAGATGTATAGTTTCCCACGGTGATAAATAAAAAATTATGTCTTGAGGAATGTCAGCTTCCTTGAGGGAGAAAATCATTCATGTTAAGGTCAAGAATTAGTGGTACAAGTGGATATCTGCAACAAAACCTTGCATAATGCAGAGTAAAAAAAATAGTCTCTTTAGGAGAGAAAAGCTTCAAAATTGTGTGGAAGAGAAACCATATTTAGGCTATCATGGGAATACTGAGTGCTTATTAAATACGCTAATCATAATAAGGAAGAACAGGCAAACATGGGCTGTATAGCTACTGTGAGTATTCATAATATTCCCTAGTTCTTTATTTGGGCTAGTGAATCCAACATGCTCAATAGTGCTTGAACAAAAGATAATCTTGTAAAATATTGTGTCTGGTAGGAGGTTACAAGAGTGAAGCTGCAACAATCTGACATATAGGAATAAAGGGGCTTTGTAGAGTGGGTCACAAAGTGTCATGTCTTGGAGTGAAAGGTGACTGTTWGATAAGGCAAAGAAGCTTGACAGGAGGTTGTGTTGCAGAGCAAAAATAAGTTGAAGATCTCAGGACTTGCAGTGCAGTGTGGTGGCACTGAAGGGAATATCTCAGATYTCCATGGTTCAGGATCCAGCAGTATCTGTGGACTCAGCTGCAATCCTTGGGACCAGCTGAAATCTCATTCTGTTTCAAGGAAATCTAATTAATTAAAATACTTCCTTTTTACTAATAAGGATATATATTTTTTTGTTAAAATAGGTGTTCCCCGGGTACATGAAAAAGGAAAAAAGAGTTAAATTAGTCATGTCGTGAGGGATGTAGAGGTCTACCCACAGTATGCTGACTATTCCCAGTATGCTGTAGTACATCAAAATAAAATTTTCTTATGAAATTAAATCCAAACTTAGTTGTTACTGTGACAATATCCATATGACCATTTATTTAAAAGGTTGTAATTTGTATTTTCTAAGTGTTGAGTCATATTTAGAAGTAGATCTGAGAATCAATGCCTTATTCCTTCAGGAATTCTTAGAATGGCATTATGTGCATATGCACATAAAAGSTTTTCTTGGCTTCTGGGAACCATATGAAAACACCCTTTCTAAAATTCCTTTAATGGCCCTTCTGATCGCCTTTTTGACCAGGCTTTGTCAGTACATAAAAGAAAAAAARRAMAAAACAAAACAAGATCTCAGCCATGAGTAATGCAACAAGTTCCTGGCACTGGATATTGTTTTCGAAATATTGCCATTGAATACTTTAACTACCAGGTGCGATTACTGAATTTGTTTTCACTGCTGTGTTCAGGAAGTAAATATGTAAATTTTTAAAGCAAATACTCCCCAGCTGCCCACGAATAAGAAGATATGAAATCCCTGACTCAAGTCTGGAAAAACAAATGCTGATGAAGATCTGACCTATTATCTACTGAAGTCAACAAAGCACCTGCTGCTGARTTTGGATGCAAGGGCTCTGGATCTGCTCCTGAGAGCTGCTGCACACACCCCATGGAAGCAAACAGGATTGCCTGCTCAGTTTGTACACAGCAGATCTTGGCCCTTTATCCTCTGAGTAAACAGTAAATTGCAAATTGTACCCAGCTGCTTAGCATTTCCAGTACATCTTGGCCTGTTTTCACTCGACAAAGCAGCRTGATACCCATCCCCAAAGGAGTCCCTTTGTCTTGCCTGCAGGAGGACAGTCCTGTGGGTGTTTGAGACTATGGATTAGCTGTGAGGGAGTGAAAAAAGCAGCATTCAGTCAGGCCACGGTTACTTTGTGCTAGTTCCCGGTGAGGGTRAAGAAGACTTGGTTTGGCCTCTTTWAACACAAGGCCCTCAGAAAAAAACACAGGAGCCTGTTTGCTGGGAAGAAAGGATGCAGAGCAYTTGCCCTTGTTTGTATCTCATAGAGGACAGCTTTTAAATGGGACTTGCCATGGCAGTTGTAGTTTAAACTCAAACCCACTAGCTCAGCTGTGAGGGAGAAAGGGCAGGTTTGAAATCTGTATTGGGATAGGCAGAAACCCCAAAAATAAATCCTTTATAAAGTAATATCAAAACCCAATATGTGTCAGTGCTTTGGAACTGTTGCTGCTGGTAATAACATAAATCTGGAGTAACTGTCACTGAGACTAGAATCTAGCCCCAAAATGGCAAATCTAGAGGATTCACTCAGATTGCTGCTACTTATTTTCTGCTCTTGTCTGTCCCTTTGTACACACACAAACACAATCTCTCTCTCTCTCTCTCTTGTTCTTTCTTGTTTTTCTTCTCTTTCTGCTGCTTCAATCTCTCTCCTTTTCTCCAGGGAGCTGTAAAGAGGTATTTCAGACATCCTCACAATAATGTTGTCACTTGGGCCCATTGAGCCTATACCTGATCCCTTTGGCAATAACTGATTCTGTGGAAAGTCACTGAAGGAAACTTGTAGGGTAGTACTACTCCATGATAGCACAGGTCAGGAAAAAGCTTCTGCAAAGACTTACATAAACATATATATATCAGCTTAGGACAAGTATAACATATGTACCAGTGCTGGTTAAAAAGAGTACTTGATGCCAGAATTATTTCTAAGAAATCTGGCCCCATCGATTGCTGATTATTTTACCATTCTTTTGGATATTATGAACAGATTCTGAGACAGACAATGACATGAAAAGGGGATGTATGCCCAGAATTAAAATAGAATCCATTTCTGAGAAATATTTTCAGAAGTATTATTCAGATGGTTGTTTTGTTTTTTGCTTTTTCTGTTGTTACTGTTGGTATTTCTTTGTTGGCTTGTTTTTTTTTAAATTKTATTGAWTTTTTTTAAAGCTACTTGATAATGCTTGTTTGAAAGCACAGCCATCTATACTAAGTTAAGCATGCTTTCATGTATTTAAGTGTTCTTCATATGAGTGGAGAGAACAACASAGGTAAAAATTAGTAAGCAATTCTCTTCCTATTAAACCAGCACATTCTGTCTTTTCTTTGTTCCCCAATCCAAAGGAAASTGTTGGATCTTCTGATTGCAATTTAACAGGAAATCACCATCCCAGCTGGATTCTGTTTTTCCCCAAAATCCTCAGGCTACTGGGATGATTAAGCAAAGATCTGCTTATGTGAGCATCCAAGAAACAAACAAAGTGGGGAAAGGTGAGTTGGGAGGGGAAAAGGTGAGTTGGGTGGGGAAAAGTTCAGGCAGCTGGCTGAAGACAGGATCCCATTTTATTGTTTGTCCCAAGCCTGCCCAACACCTTTGTGTAGCTGAGCACACCAACAGCTTCATCTTAACAGAAGAAGTTTGCGAAATGATAAGAGTTCAACAGTATATTAAAAAAAATCTTTATTGTCTTTAAAATATGGTATTTTCATAGAATATCTGTAATATCACACCCAATGATTTATTTTTTGAAATATATTTTTAAAAATCAACAATATTATCTTCATGAGATATAGCTATGACATATAAGATAAGCCCTGATATAAAAGGATTTTCCTTCGGTTTCTTTTCTTACAACTCACTACTTACACAAAAAATCACAGATCATTTTTTGCCTATACTTGCAAAGCCTAGGCTTGTAAGCACTTCTCACATCTCTGCCATTTTTGATCTCTACTCCTTCCCCTTGTCCCTGAATTTCTGGTAGAGCAGTACAAGCAAAGATTCAGCATTCCTTGACCCATACACTTTGAACATCAGGGTTCCTGTACATAAACTAAACAAATCTTACTCAGCTATCTCTGAGGCATGAATGCAGCTCTCCTTGGATCAGATGTTAATGGAGGATAAACTAATGCTGGAAGGCAAAGCTCTGTTCCTTAGSTAGCATCCATCATGCACCTGTTGTGTGGGTGCTGGTGGCTTCTGGGGGGAGAAACAGGGAAATGTGTGGGAACACACACAGGTGTGTGTATGGATCTCTGTAGSTTTGTGTGTGTGCACACACCCCGTGGGCAGGGTAGGAAAGAGGAGCAGACACTGTCCAACTCCAAAGGTTACTGTGGCTGTGCCCAGTTCTGCAGGAGTTTGGAACAGCAGAGGAGGGCCGTGGAACACCACCTACTTCTCACATACCCTTCTTAGGAATGGAGGGTAAATAGGTAAGGGGAAATCCACAGAGCAGAGGGAMAGCAGGCCTGGGGTGCAGAAGCTCAATGGCCTCATTTGATTATACTTCAAGCTTGTCGTTGGGGTGGCTTTGTTTTACACAGAGCCTGGCCAAATTTTCACTTTTTCTCTCCCTCTCCACACAGAGTAGGCTCAAGACTTCATTTTGATGTGCCCTCATAATATTATTTTAAATAATACAGTTCAATCTAATTATACAGCAGACTTGTTGATAATGTAATTTGACTGTTCTGAGTATTTGGGATTTCTCTCCCAGCCCTGTCGAATTTGTGTGAGAGGTTTGTCTACACAAGGCAATAYCAGCACAAATTTGACAACCAGTACAGCACATGGAACGACGAGGGAGAGCATGTAGATGTTTGGAAGATACCATCTGTATGCTGATGGGTTCAGGAACCATTTTCCACCGTAAACCAGCGTGTGTGCAGTGCACAAAATCAGTGACAGATATCCCAGTTTGGACTAAAGGAGAATGAAGGGAAGAAAGAAGTGAGGTTAAAACAGTCGATTAAACCAGAACAAACGGAATTTTAAGGACACAGTGAGATTTGTGGCATGTGCCAACTTGGGGACTSGTGAAATGAAATTGTATATATAGGCTCTTTTTTATTTTTTTTTTAAGTATCCATTTAAATGGATATAGGTGAAATACGGTTTGTTTTTTTCTCCATCAATAACCCTGATAATTTTTTCCTAGCTCACATACTGCCTAGTGGCTGTCATATTTGTGAAAAAGCAGAGAAAATGCTGACATTCARTGGAGAGATCCAAGATATTTTATGCTCCACTGCTAATCCATCCAGAAGTACCATACTGTGCAAGTTTTTTGCCTTGTTAAAACATTCATTGGTAGTAATTTCCCTTCCTCTTGCCTCCCCTCCCCTCCTGCCCAGCTCCTGCAGAGGCACGGCAGCTTGCATGAAACTTCCTCCARACTGAGAGCTGAGATTACAGTGTTACCAAGGGCAGCCTGTTTATAGTCACAGCAGTTTTTACAGTCTGAGGAAATTGTGGATTCTCTTTAGATGCTTGGCATTGAGAAGATTTGAGTTATAAAGTAATTTTAAGACCCATTTAAAGTGAATTATCTTGTGAACCAATAAAATTAGCCCAATAAATGGCTAAATTATTTTGTGACTTAGTACAATCGTGAAATTTGATGTCAGTCAGCTTTCTGTTTTTCATTTAGGAGCTCATATCGTCCCAACTTTCTCTTGTTAATGCACTAATCACAGTTGTACCATAAACAGCCATCAGAGCAGTTGTGGGTTTTTACAACTGTATGGCCRTGTAGATTTTTTTCACTGTGTGATGGTGGACATTGCACAGATCTAATTTGGAGATACTATTGGAGGAAAGCCATAAGTCTCTAATAAACCTGCCYATGACCATTGTTTATAAGAGAAGAAGGGTTTTTTAGAAGAAGGTTTTTTCAATGTTCTTCTTACCTGCACAAATCGAAATTCTCGCCAGTTGACATTGTTGCTGACTGAAGGCAAGGAAGTTATTCCCAGAAGAACAAATAAAAAAAATCCTAAAATTCCTAAAGCCAAATAAGAGTCACTAATCCAGGCAGTMGTGCTGTCGAGTGGTTCTGTTTTATTGTTCAGTGCCTGGAGAAGAGAAGACCAGGTGTGTTTTAGTGATAGCAGTTTTAGCATCAATAAGTAGAAAAAAAATTCCTGACAGRTAAGTAGGAGATAAATGTTATACATTAACTCTCTGAAAATCATCAGAGATTTACTTTGAATGGCAGAAGTACTGCTACAGAAGTTCTACTTCAAAAAGCAGAAGTGGCATTATGTAATATATAGGTTCTATGTAACTGTAATTGTAGTATGTTTTCACTTCTGWAGACCTGTTGAAGAGAGATATGTGATCCTTTGTTAAGCAAGATCAGYAAATCAAAATATATTCTATTCTTGAAGGTATATGGATGTACACTGTTTACATATTCCCTCATTCTTTATATGTCAACTGTTTATTATATTATTAATATATCAATGTTTAAAAGAAACACAGAAGCTAGGAATATTACTCTATTTTAGGAACATTGAACTGTCCACATGGATTTCTGAAGCTCAAGATAGAAGGTAGTCAGGATAGAAGGAAGACATGAAGCAGTGAACAAAACTGACCTGGGAGACGATTCCTTTGCCAATTCTCCATCTTACGAAGGCRCGCAATGGAGCAACGAGAGTGAACACAACGTGCAGGGAAGCGAAYGCCAGGGCTATTAGTCCAAGTTGTTTCCTACAGAGCATCCATTTGTCCAGCCAGTCTGGAAAACGGCGGTATTTGGTACCTCTGTATAACTGAATAATTGCAGCAAATAYACCAGGAAGATAAACCAAGGCAAGAAGGACGAGTGCCATTACMGGGCAGACCCGATTCGGAATGGTAATTGCAATAAAAAATGAAAAGTTATTTTTTTCATAAATGTAAGTGTAAATTACATCAAGAACCAAACAGTACAAGAAGAAGAATATAGTTAGGCCAAGGGACAAAAAGATGGGAAACTTCCACATTGGAAAGAGTTGCAGAGGGAAATTTTCTATTTCCTGAGCAGCCAAGAGGGTTCCCTTGTCTAGTGGAGTGAGACCCAGYGCACGAACAATATTCATCACCATTTGTTTAGCTTCTACATCATCTCCACAGACAAACACCTGCAGACAAAAACAAACAGAAGTTTTATTTTTAAAGATTTTTGTGACATTCTCCACTGTCATCCTTCCTGGATATGGACAGTAAGCACAAGCTTCCTAGGCTGCTTGTTGGTTTTCCTGCCMTCCTTAATATAAGCAAAAAGAAGCCTATAGGGACTTTTGGCAAACATGTCAAAGAACTTTGAATATGRTTCTTTACTTTGGGGATGGAGATTTCAAGTGGCAACATTTTGTATCTGGAAAGAACAATGTCTAAATGCTTAGTGCATGTCTTTGCATGGAAGGYTTGACATACTTTTCTGGTCTGCAAGTAGTTTGTAAGCATGAGATTTTACATGACCAAATTCAAGCAAAATTTTCAATAGCAGTAAGTAAGCACAAAATTTTCAGTTCTGCTATAGGAGTCCTTGAGTACTTCAGAGTAGTGAGGATAGAGATCTTTAAAGCACAGTTTCCCTATCACAGAAGTAAATATTAATGCTTTCCAGCTCTAGTAAAAGAGTGAYAAAACCATCTTTTCTGATTGTATAAGACAATATTGTTTTTGGAACTGGGAGAAAAGGGGCAGTTTTCTGCTCTTTTTGAGATGATGAAGACGTACAGAGCCTTGGCCTGGAAGCCCTTGGGTGTGTAGTTTAGCCAGAMCTGTTTATCTGGCAGCAGAGGGCAAAGTTATCAATGGTTTGAGTAGCTGGGTGATTTCATGTGTTGTTCAAGAGCACAGTCCTTTGAAGTGGCAGAGAACAGGGTAATAATAAATGATTTGGCTTCAAGTAAGCTGCTGTGTTGCTTCCTATGGCCAGCTCTGTGCTTGCTGGCCTGTGGTTAAGGAGCTGGTTAAAACAGTTTGTGCACACAGATGTGTTAAACTCAGGTGACCATGATTTAGACAACTTTAGTAATTTATGCTTCTTTTGCCTGTATTCATTGGCCTATCATATCCCTTGCCTTCCTTGTTTTGCTTTCTTCMTTTTATTCTTGTTTTGGAAATTCCTCCTGTCTCATTTTTGTTTAACTTTACAACCCCACTGAACAACTGATGTAACCCTCCTGGTTTGTTGTCTCTCTTTGTAGCTTTGCTATCTTCCTTGCCTCTCTAGTGTCTATAAACACCTTAACTGAATTCAGAGGCAAGCTATTGATATTCCTTGTCATGCCATATTAAAAACCCAAAGTAAATTTTAGCTCACATTTASTTTGAAATGGGAGATAAGAGTGAAAATACTACCTCAACCCTGTCTAATTCTGATGTCCCAGATGTGTTTTGAGGAGCTGATAAGGAGCCATGTGCTGTGTAAGTGTGACAGAGGAAATCCCCGTTGCTCAGCCTTACCTGCCGGCTTGCATCCAGCGTGCCCGACTGCAAGGCCCAGGCTGACACGGTGTTAAARGCTTTCACAACCTTACTGCCAGGCAGCAGCTGAGCCAGGTACTCTGCGTTGGATTCAGGATACTGGTTTAATTTCAAGTTGTTGCTTATGTCCACCAAGACTTTTCCACGCAGTATTTCTGCCAGTGGTGTGAGAAAGTTGTAATGCTGCCTCTGGATTGCTATGATGATGATGGCAGCTTTCTGTGCTGCCTCTGCATGGCTCAACACCTCTGCATCCTTGGGAATCAGGTTGGATATCTGGGTGCTCCGGCTTCCATACACCACGGGGTAGCCAGACTGAATCATCTGATGCCCCAGAGCTCGTCCAAAATCTCCGGTTCCAAATATGCATACTGTCTCTCTTTTGTTAGGAGCATTAGGAGCCAAAGCCATTATGTTGGAAGAATTTTTATTCATCTGTTAAAAAGAAAAAAAGAAATAGGAACAAACTAAACAAAACTTCAATCTTTTGAAAATGAAAGGTTTGTATTCACTCTGAGTGTACAAAATAGACACTTAGCATCTTCTTGCCCTTTAATATGATTCCTGCACACTCTTCTGAAAACAYACTCTCAGAAGATTTATGTATAGTTTTTTAAAAAAAAAACATTCTGAATATTCAGTTCACCATCTCTTACAGCACACTCTTTCCCATCCATTTTATGGATTTTAACATCTAGCTGAACTGTTCCAGTTTTCCTCTCAAAGAGAAACTAGGAAGAAAAGATACAGGAGCACAGAGAACAAGGGTATCATGCTTTTCAGACTAATATTTGTTTACTTATGCTAYAGAAAAGTATTTAGGGGGAATGTGTTTCTAATCAGATTAAAATCTGCAAGGTTTTTTCAATGTTCTTTGAGAYGGGTTATGGTAAAAGGTAGCTATAAACCTATCTGCTGTTCTCAGTATTTCCTTAATGCAAGTAGTTAGTGCCAGTTTGTTTTATTATTGTTCTTCAGTTTCCTGAAGACAGTTCCATGAAGCATTTGGACAGTGGACTTCAATATTTCTAGCTGAAAATAGATTTTTGATATTTATATATTACTCATAGTAAAATTCTCTTTGAGGTTTTTATCTACCTTYCTTTATCACTGTGCCTGGCAACTTCAAAGTCTTTAATGTATTATCCATGCAATAGCAGTGTGTTCRCTCTGTACTTGCAGAGTGAGACCCATGATACAAATACAGAATCAAAAAGCTCTGTTCCAAAGGTCTTGCAGTAGGTCCACATGCTGTTCTCCTTAACAAAAGGTGAACCCAGAGCAGAAAACCTAAGACCTGCAACAGGAGACCCTGAGACACCTCTCTCTTGGACTGTCCATCAATTTGGTACTTAGAGCAGCAATTTAATTTGAAGGAGCCCTGATTCRAGTCTTTTACTGCATCATAGCTAACTGTCTTAATGAGAGCTGTGGGAATAACAGATTTTCCAATTTGCAGGAAAGAAATGCACAACATGTTTAGCTATAACTAAAACAACTGCTTTGCTCCTGCTGTTTATGAACCTTTTGCTTACATTTTTCTGTGAAGCACCATTCAGAATGCTGCAATTTGAACATACTGCCTTTTAAAAACACTGAGATGATGTTCTTCACTTTCCTTTGTGTTTTTCTCTAGCCAGAACAATTTTTGCTCTTTAAAAATCTGACATGATTTTACATTATCCAACCCAAAACTTGTTTTTGTTTGGTGAATGAAAAAAATCAAGCCTCAGCTTCCCCCTACCTGCCATGTCTTAGGGATAAGAGCTGTGAGTCAAGGATGCAAGCATCTGTGGCCTATGTTGTAGGGTRCAAGTTTTGCTAGCAAGATTGACACAGAAATTCTTGTTCTGAGAATCACATGTGAAGATTTTGGCTTGGACTGCCTCYGTATGAAGGTGTGTAACCCTCAGGTGGCATCAGTTCCTGCCCAGCAGCATTCTGACCCTGAGCTTAGAGAGGTGGGAGCCCTGTTTCAGAGAGGTGCCATGACAGTTGCTTCTGGACATCAGGGAAGGTGAGGATTGAGGCAGAGTAGGGCCAAGCACCTGAGTGCTGGAGATCAATGTGGCTGGAACAGGTGCCACAGGAGGCTTTGCAGGGTGTTAATCCCAGCTCTGCACAGCTGACTCCCTGTACTTTGTCAAGTAGTGCACTGAGCATGGAAGCAGATCCTCAAAGGGACCCAACTGAATGTATCTTGCATATGTGTGTGCTCTGACACATGCATAAAATTGCAAAGTCCTTTGACATATTTGAAAATCATTCTCTGAGGGCTTTATTAATGTCCCATGAAGCTCTAATGTGACTAAAGCTATAAAATTCCTTTCTGGAATTTCAAAAAGAACAGAAGAGTTGCTTATGCAATATTACTAAATGGTCCAACTCAATACCTAATAAGACTCAACTCTCCTCAATTTTAATTTTTAACAAAGTAATCTCCTATCTAAAATAAAAAGTAAAACTTATTTGTAACGTGCAATTATCCAGCTGAAAACTTCTGTATTTGTCCTCAAGAAATCCTCATGTTATTGCTGAGTGAACTGTGAAATTCRTTCTCCTCTCCAAAGTAAGACTAGAAAAAAACAAAACTSAGATGGATGTTATCWGGTATTGTATTYGGTAGATCAGTCAAGTTATGTTTTSTTTGGGCTWATAAAAATATTTARCATAGCAATGGATCCACCAGCAAGAAATAAGTCTATAAAGTACTTCCATTGTTCATTTACACTGAGCATCTGATTTACTAGTGAACACTGAACTCGTTTTGCCTGAGAAGAAAAAAAGAGGGAGATAAAAAGAAAAAATGATGGAAGGAATATTTTTTTTTTCAAAACATGTTTTCTTGAAATACTATCTAAGATGTAAAGGGAATGTACAAGGCATAGAAAGCTGAAGAGAGTTAAGGTTTTCTTTAGTACTTGTGGTCTTATTTGGCTTAATACCATTTATAACAAGAGACATAATTTGCTTGAATAAGTTAAGCAGAATTCAAGAGATACTTAATAAGGATGCCCACAGCTGTTATGATAGCACATGTTTTGTATTAGAAATAAACTATTCACCAATAAACTTTTTAACAAATGATTTATACTGTAAAATCTGTTATTTCTGAAAAATCACATGTAAGGCTAGGCAAGTTTACTTCTAAATTCCAGGTCTTCTGGACCATGCCTACTTCTGAAAAATACAATAATTAAGTTWATTTTCTCCTTATAATCCTTCTTTTTCTTCCTTTCAACATGTCTTTGTGTCAGCTGGCTCTTACTGTACTAAAGAATGTTGTAAGCTTGGCAGTAAATGTCTGGAGGTCAATTCAGGGATATGAGCATATAAAAAGTGCATGAACAAATTCTGGCATTGCTGTGTGTATTTGAAGAAAATTCAGCATCTCATGAAAACTGTGTGTCTACAAAGTCAAAAGAAGGAAACTGGACTCCCAGATTCATGACAGCAGCAGCTGGAATGTGAGAAGATAATAATTTTCTATAGGACAAGGTGTTTTATTGTCATGTATCATTTGAAAGATGGGTGAGTGGGAGCTGAGCCCAGGGGCTGACACTGGGCTATCACTCAGCAGCCAGGGGCAGWGGAGCTCTGCTCTGTGCCCATGGGTTATGCTGGGTGCTCTCAAAGCACCAGAGGAAAGCAGAAATATCAGCAAAGAAACATGCAGTAATAACTGTCTGCTGTTTTACATTTGTAGCCATATATTATCTGAGAAAAAGCCCTAGAGATTTGTATGCATACATATTATTTTTGCTTATATCCATCCCCCTAACATTRGAGCACTAGTAATGCCTTTTGTTATTTGAAAGATAATCCATGTAAGCTTCTGCAATGATTAACTGTGTCCTTCTCCTCTGCATTGTTGTTGTATTCTTGTCACTGAGTAATGCTATTTTAAGGAAAATAGTGGTAATCTCTGAGTTTACTTGGCCAGTAAAGATAAAAGGAGATGCTGAAAGAAAAAAAAAAAAAAGAAGCCACCTGAAACATTGTTATTTTTTCCCATTGCATAAACACTAGGGGAAATGAACAAAGTTACAATGTTTAGTTAAGCAGTTTTACGCAAATACTTGATTATGTAGGAAATTGAATTAAGACAGGCACACTGCTTTGTGCATGGGAAAAAGGAGGGATAATGGAAATACCAGAAAGATGTAACATGAAATGCAGATGGAAGATCAGTGGAATGGTTGAAAARTTAGAAAGGCAAGATGAAAGGAGCAGGAAAGAGTCATTTAATGTTTACATTTGAAAGAGGAACAAACCGAATTGCTCTGGTAGTGATCTCAAGAGGTTATTTAGTCCATCTCCCTTTCTAAGGCAGAATGAACTGTGTTTAAACCAAGTCTGACAGGTGCTTGTTTAACCTGTTTGTAAGACCTTCCTGTGTTGTGGATGTTGAAGCTCCTTACTTACTGCTTTCTCAGCTATTTTATTAGGCAGATTTTCCTATGAGCAATCTGTATTGCCTCCCCCACAGTAGACACAGCTGTCAAAGCTGTCAATTTATCCCCCTTCTCTTTGCAGCACCCTTTGTTGGACATGAAAGCTGYTACCATTTCATCTTTTTCTTCTAGACATAAAACAATCCCACGTCATTCCTKAAACTTCTGTTTCTGAGAGTGGTGATCTTTCTCATGGCTTATTTCTGATCTWTCTAAGCTAAACTGCTCCAACTGTTAATTAAAAGTGTGGTGCTAAAGCTGACTGCAGTACTGTCAACAGAGATCAAGAAAAGGATTGCTTCAGTTGCCTCACAGAGCACACGTAYTCCTGCTGTCACATTTGTCTCATTCACAACACAGCTGATTCATGGTCAGCTGGTGATGTGTTAAGGTGATGAGTGCTTTAACAAGTTGTGTATGGCAACACWAGGGACCAAGATGTGCAGAGCAACAGCTGGTGCTGAGCTCATGATTTGCACACCATCCACATGCCAGATTTCTACCTTGGATTGTGGTCTAGAACTGCAGCCTGCSTGCCAGTAGCAGCTGAGTGCATTTGGATCCACCTAAAACACATCTTCTGGCTCACTGTTTGTGTGAGGAATCTAGTTTCATATGTTCCAAGAGCACTCTGTAATGTAATGCAAAGCTTGAAAAGTGGTCATCTGCTTCTACATGTGATCAGAACTGAAATACTAGTGCAAATCACCCTGTTACACCCAACCCTTTAATTGGACTCCTCCCACGCCATTTGCTCCATCCTTGATTTCTATAGTTTTTTCTGACTCAGAGCTGTACTGTGCACTTGTCCCTGTTGAATGGCACCATCTTTTTTTTTAAACTGTAGCTTCAATTTGTCACGATCATTCTGATTTCCAGGCTGTCCTCTAACTTGCTTGCAGCCCTTTTCAACTTTGTCAGGTTGTCAGCTTTAATGAGTAGAGTGTCTRTTCCAGCATGACACCATTTAATGAAATTCTG